TTAAAAAATAAAATTATACACGTGCTTTTACTATTCAAAATACAAGGAGTGATGTGCATATCAAATCTAGATAAGTTTACTTTTATAACACTATAAGGAGTAGGTGCGTAAACATGCAAGAAAAAGAAAATTACATAAAAAAGAACATTTTTTTTACTAGTGTCATTAAAACAATTTTTACAGTATCATTACTTTCAATTTTAATGCTATTATTGCTAAAAATTTTATTTTTTTTTTAATCGTAGAATAAAATGAATCTTATTTTAGCTTTTTTGTCTTACTCTTAATGTTAAAATCTTTTTTATTAAAACACTATCATCTATATTTATGTCATTTATAGCATAATGCACGCATTTTTTGTCCATGCGAGCTAAATATTTTTAATTAAATGAAATTAGACTTATATCTATTTTTTCTTCTACTATAAATTCTTTTTATAGATAAACTAGCTAACGCTATCCTATTTAAAATGGGACTTGAATGCAATACGTGCTTTCTTTGTTTAAATTATTTGTATATGTCTTTATGCATGTATGTACTGTTTTAAAATTAAAAATTGCACACTTTTAATTATAAAATGACAATGATGCACATTTTACAATTTGAATAATTGAAAACAACTAAAGAAAAGTTTATTTAAAAATTAAGCTGTATATAATATAGCCAACCATGAAAGATTGTTATTTATTTAAGAAAACGTTTTCCAAAATTTGAAAAAAGAAGGATTAAAATATATAAATAAATGTTAAGATTCAAATTTTTTTATATATATTGATGATTGATACAATCTAAATTTTTGATTATAATTAATGCTGCATTTTCTTTTTATAAATCTTTAAGAAATTTTTTAAATTATAGCTTTTTTGTAATTGTAATTTATTAAAAAACTAACAAACTACAAGAACGTTCTATGCAAATGAAAAGTATAAATAATTTTTTTTAAGCATAAAATATCAAATGTTAATAGCTATCTTTTTTACAAAGTTTGTAAAAATGAACTCTGTAGAAAATACTTTAAAAGAGCGAAATAATGAGAATACAGTTAATATAGAAACCAAACAAGATTCTTCTGAAAATCAGATTTATCAGACATTTAGATTTCCAAATATATTTAATCTGTGTAAAAAAAGAGGATTATATAGAAACAGAGAACCTGTTTGCAGACCTGTGTGTGAGCCAAGATTTAGATTTCGAAATCGACATGAATTTGATATTAAATCTGAAAGTGATTCTGGTAGTAGACCAAAGTGCAGACCTGAATGTAGACCAGGATGTAGACCTGAATGTAGACCCAGATTTAAATTTATTCATCATAGGCGCAGAAAAAATTATTGGAGACCACGATGTAGACCGATTTGTGGACAAAGTTCAGAATCTCATAGCAGTTCTATATCATATAGTAGAGATTCTAGCTCTAGCGAAATTAGTAGCTTTATTGACTGTAGGGAAAGGGAACCTGTATGTCGACCTGTATGTGGAGAACAGTTTCGCATAATGAGTAATGATCAAAAACATCAAAGAAAGCTAGCCCCTGTGTGTAAACCAGTTTGTAGACCCAAATCGACACACCGTTTTCACAAACATATAAAACGTAGATGGAAAACTAAATACAGACCAAAATGGGAGCAGATCTGCAAACCAGTTTGTGCACCAAAAAGGAGCATTTTACATAAACCCAAAAAACATAATTATAAACCTAAGAAAAAGTTATATGTTCCTGAATGCAAGCCAGTCTGCGTTAATAAATCTAATAAACACCATGAGTCATATTCTACTAGCAGAGATAGCGAAAGCAAATATTCGAGTAGTGAATATTCTTACGAACATTATGAACCTACATGTGAACCTTTAGATGGACAATATAGGATAATGAGTGAAGATAACATCTTTACAAGGTCTAGGCGACTATGTCGACCAATCTGTGAACCCTTTCAAAGGTCTAAATTTAATAGAAGATTTAATGATGATTGCAGACCAGTTTGTGAACCCGACTGCAGACCACAGTGTGATCCAATTCTAAGAAGACGAAGAAGACACAGACATGTTCGTGAAGTAAGAAACAGAAACACAGGAGGATCTGTTACTGCTATACGTCAGATAATATTACAAGCTTCATTTGAAGTAAATAAACTTGCAAGATTCTTTGCAGAAGAAATCAAAGCCAAATTACTTGAAGGCCTTCAGTTAATAATAACAGGTGCTGGAAATAAAGCAACAGGAGATTTTAAAAAACTAGAACAAAGAATCGCAGATGTTGTAATAGATATTAATAAATGTATTTTAAGAGATACAGATGCGTTGATAACTAATACAAATGAAGAAATTCTAAATATTTTAACAATGAATATTAGAAATGCTAATAAATTAATCTTATCTGACATTGCAGCATTAGTTGCTGCAACCAAACCACCACAGTCGCCTAATAAGCAGCCGCTAGACAAAATACTCGACATCCTTACAAACAGATTTAATGAGATTACAATAGAAGTTCCAAATATCTTTAAAAAATTTACACAAACAGAAAAAGCTTCTATAGAAAAAATTGTAAATGACAAGAAATCGGAAATTATTAAAGAAGTGACAAAACTCATCGAAGAATTTGAAAAGAGACTTGCTCGTCTCTTTGCAGATTTGGCAGAAGAAGAAATAATATTTATAAGAAATATACTTGATCAAAACGCAAGAAAATTATTAGTAGACTTGGAGCACATTCTACAACAAATAGGTGAAGGAATTATCATAATTCTTAAGGGAAGAAACTGCGAATTTCGACCATTATTATTTGGCGGTGAAATTAGAGAAAACTGGAATGTTAATCAAGAAGAAAATATATAATTAAACAATTAACTTAAATTTAATAAATAAGTTAAAACAGTGTCAAATGCGCAATGTAAACAACACTATAATGCTTTATTTTTTTTATGTTTACTAACTTTTTCTTGTGCATATTCATAAAAGGTTTCAACCCCTAAATCGTGTTTAAATAAATTCCACTTTTTCTCAAAGGCCTTTGCCTCAAGAGCACTTGAATATGTAACATGACAATATCCAATATTCCTTTTTGTTTCTATTTCAAATCTCATTCTTATATCTTTAGGTTTAATATTAAATTTTTTAAGTATATTTCTAAGTTGTAATATAGTTAAATTCTTATTTAATCTTGAAATGAATATGCGTTTATCATTTACAGTCTTATTTTTCATTCTTTCAATTCGTAAAATTTTATAATTTAATTTTATATCTTCATTAATAAAAACAGGATGTTTAAAGATAATTATTGCTTTACCAATAAATTTTTTATCTTTTGAATATGTTAATTGAACTCTTTCTATTGCACCATATTTTTTAAAACATTCTTTAATAGAATTTTCTGTTTCCTTAAAGGACAGGTTACTAACAATAATAATATTTTTATCATATGGTGTATATTCTGTTAAATTATTATTTACAACCTTTTTTGTATGTTTATTTTTCTTAATATTACAAGAAGCTTCATCTGCTAAACTATCTGATTTAGATATCTTTTTTTCTGTTTTTTCGTCATCAAATTTTCTTTTTTTAATCTTTTTACCTTCTATTTTACTATTAAAATGTAATATTGTGTCTTTATTTATATTTACGTTAGTCGTTATTTCTTTCTTATTTTTTTTCATAATTTTGGGATAAAATATTTTAAGCTTTAAAAAATTACTGTATGTTATCAAAAAAAATAAACAATAAGATGTATGAATCATTTACACTGTACACGTTTCTTATACTGTATGTTTTTAAAAAATTTTATTTATCTATACCAAATATATAAATCATTCACCATTTTTCAAATTTTCTATTATCCTATCCTTTCTTACAAAACAGTCTTCCATCCACTTTCTAGGATTTTTTATATCTAAAATATTTATAAATCGTAAATCATATTTAATCTCGCCCCGTTTAGAAGTAAATAAAACTTCCCATAAAGACAATGGTTTTTTTATATGTGTAAATGTAAAATCCGCAATATAAAAATTCTCTTTTTTCAATATTTCATAAATTAAATTAAATCCATTTAACCTTGGGTAAAGCACATTACTTAAAACAGGAAGACCTCTATTTTTACAGAATATAATAGATCTTGTTAAATTTTCTTTATTAATCCTAGTTCCTTCTGGAAATATAACTACTATTACTGGTATATCACTTTTCAATAATAAATCAATTCGTTTTTTTATTCTATCTTTGTCTTTTTTATAATTTCTACTAACAGCAATAAATTTTAAAAGATCTACTACTTGATAAAATATAGGAACCCACTTCATTTCCGATTTTATAAGATATTTCATATTACCGTTAGTTTTAAATATAAAATTTAGGATCATAAAATCTATTGCACCGACATGGTTAGATACAATAATTAATTTCTTTTTATCGAGTTTATTAATCTTTTTAATATCAAAAGATAGTTTAAATATCCAGCCGCATATTTCCCATAAGAAATATGAAAATACAGTAGTTATTTTTATAGACCATTTTGCACTAAAAATACTTATTAAATATCCTATAGGAATGTATAGAAGACTGATAGCAAATAAAAGAGCCATAAAAATACAACAAGATAGTTTTAGAAGAATAATAAATATCATAAGGGGGTATTTAATACAACATATTAAAAAAATATATTTTATATTTCAGTATATAAAAATATAGTAAATGTGGACAAATTGAAATGTAACTAGTGCTACTAAAATAGGTAACAATAATAATTTTTAATAAACAATATAAAAATTTCTATTTAATAGAATAAATAAAAAGTTTATTGTTAAAAAATAAAAATCAGCAACAGAAAAAAAACCACCAGGCCACCAAAAACTCCACTGTAAAATCAAAACATCAATATTGCGCTTACACGCCAGCATACCAGAACGGCCTTGCTTATAGGAAATTTCTATTTAATATAAAAAAATAAATGTCAAACTCTACTAAAGACATAAAAAGAACAAAAACCTGTGCAAGGTAAAAAATTAAAATATTTATTTAAATGCTAGTAATCTTTTTTCCAATTCATCATTAAATTCCTTTGATTCAATAATTTTTTCTATTTCTTTTCTTTTTTCATTCTCCAAAGATTTAGTCTCCTCTTCTTTTTTTAAAATAGAATCAGTCAGTTCTTTAACAATTTTACTATGCTTCCATCCAAATTTAACTAATAAATCACCAAGAAGAGCATATTTTTTCCCTGGCTTATTACAATATTTAAGAAGACATTCAGGAAACTTTACCCTCTCCGAATTGATAAATTCATTTGGTATTCCTTCATGGCATTCTAAATTTTTAAGTGCCTCCTTTCCTTTGTAAAATTTATAAGGAATCATTCCTCTTATAATTCTGTAGAATCTCATGCTAGGGAGTACATGATGGAAAGGTCCCTTTCTTGGATTTACTCTGCATCTCTTGTTCATAAATGACTTAAATTTGGCGATACTTCTGTCAAGTGGTCCAGTTAAAATTGCACGTTCAGTGCATAAAACAGTGACCTTGTGACCTTCAAGAAGAAGCTTGGCTATTTTTGATGCGAGTTTTCCTGCTACGTGGTTACTTGCATCGACGATTAAGTGTTTATGCATTTTGGGGGTGTAAAAAATATTTTTATGTAAAAATTATTGAATAAAAAATGTAATGAACGGAGATGAATAGAGAATATTGTAAATATAAATATAGTACACATACTTTTTATAACACATTCTTTTTATAACACACACCTTTTATAAATACACATCTACATTGTTCCTACAATATTCTTCCAATATTTCTACAATATTCCTTTAATATTCACACCTCTACAATATTCCTTTAATATTCACACATTTCATAAATGTCCCGTAAATTTTTTTATAATATAAAATATATAAGCATTTTCATACCCCTTATGAACCTAGAACACATCTATAGAGATCTACTTCAAAAAAGACAAGAGAGACAAGAATACAATGGAACTATAAAAGGTACATGTCAGGAATATTGTCCTTATTTTGAATACATAGAAAGGAATCTTAGAGGAGACATAAATAAATATGAAAAAAATATTTTAGTAAAAAAGTACAATAGATCTTCAGCAGGGAAAGTAAAGCCTTTTCCTGAAGATGTACGTCCTATAAATGTCTTGGTATCTGTTTTAGAATATCTTTTACAGTTCTGTGACTTTACATTAGAATCTTATAAATTTTTAGAAAATCGTACAAGAGCTATCCGCCTTGATATCACTATTCAAGAATTAGAATGTGATAGAACTATTTATGTCCTAGAGAAGATCTGTAGACTTCTTATAGTGTATTCTTACGCTTTGTATGATAATAAGGAATTTGAAATACATTTAAATTTAGAGCAGTGTAAAAAAATACTGGGTACACTTATAGATCTATATAATAAGAGGAATAAGTATAATGAAGAGTTTATAGGATATCATTATCTTATCTCATTTGATGAAAAGTTTATAGTTTATAATACATTTTATAAATCAAAAAATATTCTGTTTAGTGCTATTAAATGTGCATATCTACAAAACAATCTGTACATCTTTTTTAAATTAGTAAGATCTACAGATTTTTTAAGTTACTGTATTCTTCACACTTATTTTGATAAAGTGAGACTTAAAGGAATAGAAATTTATTCAAAATGTTTTGTAGAAAAAATAGATGCCAATTTTATAAATAAGATGTTGTATCTTACAGTAACAGAATTAAAAAGTTTATGTAAAAAGATGAATATACAACTTATTAATGACTCTACAATACTAGTAGATTTTAAAAATAAAGATTTATTTGAGAATGATAATATTCTTATTAAGGAAAGAAAAAGTATTATTAGAACATCTAAATTAATATATTACGGGGATATAGACTACTACATAAAAGATTATATAGTAAAGATGTGGATTATCAAAAATTTTACAAAAACTTATAAACCTATTATTAATGCTAAAATTATGCGAAAAAAGGTTAAATTCAATATTTTTTCTGATCCGCATGAAACACAGAAAGACATTTTTGATGTTTTAGTAAAAATTTATTGTAAAATTTCTGCTAGTATTTTTGTTAAAGACATTAAAAAAAGAGTTATTATTTTTGAAAAGAAAAAGAAACTAGCCCGTGAGATATGTTTTTATATTTTAGATCTTTATATAAAAAATAGATTAAAATCACCAAAGGGATCTGTTAATGTAAAAACCCTTGTACAAAATACTCTATGTATAGTCACTGATGATACTATTTTCTCAGCAATATTTGTTAATACTGTTAAGAAGTCAGTGTTAATGAATTATAAACCTGATTTTTTACAGTACAAAAATGTGAATATTAGTACACTTCTAAAATATAAAGTGTCAATTTTTGCACTAAATAAGAAATTATTAGTAGATACAAATACTAAATATTATATGTTAAATAAGATGGTAGATACACCACAGAATATGGGTAAGAATATAGATAAAATATTAGAATTAATTAATATAAGTAGATATATTATAAAAAATAAATTAAATTTATTATTAGAAAATAAAAGTAGATTAAAACAGATATCGATATTAACATGTTTAATACACAATGGTAGAAATCCTGATGTAAAGGAAGATTGGATTAATAAAATTGATAAAAAACAGAAGTTAGAGAATATAGAAGTTTATTATGAGGAGGGGATTAAAATGTATTGAAAAAATTAGTAATTGAAAAAAAATAGTAGTTGAAAGGTTAGTAATGAATAATGTGTAATTTAAATGTATTGAAAAGATTAGTAATTGAAAAAAAATGTAATTTAAATGTATTGAATTTAATTGTATTGGAAAGGTTAATAATGTAATTTAAATGTATTTAATAATAACGCATTGAAAAGATTAGCAATAAATTTTTAGTGAAAAGATTAGCAATAAATTTTTAGTGAAAAGATTAGCAATAAATTTTTAGTGAAAAGATTAGCAATAAATTTTTAGTGAAAAGATTAGCAATAAATTTTTAGTGAAAAGATTAGCAATAAATTTTTAGTGAAAAGATTAGTAATGAACATGATAGTGAATGTACTTAAATAACTATAGTCTTATATAAGTAAATTTACTTATATTAGTTATTTATTAAATTTAGATTATAATGTACATTTAACTTGATACAAAATATTACATTTAAGTAAAAAATAATTTATTACAATATTTTACAGAATATTTTTGAATCTGGGTATTCTTGCTTAACTTCAATTTTACCAAAAGAAGTCTGTCGTAATAAATCAAAAAAAAGCTTAGCTTTGTCTTCTCTGTCTAAATGTTCTATTTGATCATTAAAAATAAATGAAGGAGGAAGGACTGTAAGATCTAAGAATTTCTCTGTATCTTCATAAGTAATATCATGTGATAAATACTGCTCATTCTCACTATACATGCTTACATCATTGTAATCATCTATTGACATTTCATTATATTGCTCTATCGCTGTTTCATCTCTCATTGTTTCTACAGCCAATTTTAATTTATCATTAAAAAAACTAGGTATATTAAAATTTAAGTGTGTCAAATATTTACACCCGGCAAATGGCATTCCTCCTTTAATATTGCATATATGTTCTTTATAATAATTATTATCGTATTCTATCACCTCATCTTCTATTTTCTTCCGTTTTATTGGAATATTAAAACTTTTTAAAAGCGTACTATCTTTAGTATCTTCATATTCTCTTATAGGTTCCATAGAAAGATCTATAGTATTATCATAAGAATATTCTGGTACTATAATATCAGATATGTATACATCTTCTTCTTGTTTCTTCTTAACAGTTATTTTCTTTTCTTTCTTTTGATTACTAAGTAATATTACTAATTCATTAGAATCATCTAATAAATATTTAGCTTTTTTACAGTATATCTTTATTATAGTAACTAATATTTTTGTACTTCTAGTAAGTGTAGTATCTACAATCATTTTATAAATGTCTATTTGTTTTATATCTGTCTTTTTAAGTGTCTTTTCTGTTACTTTTGTACATATTTTTAAAATATAAGAAAGTGTGTACATTCTTGGGGGTTAGAAATACAGCATAAAAGTAGGTAAAGGATCAATAAAAATAAGAAAGAAGATGAATGATATAACATTCTTAGGTGTTAAAAATGCGGCATAAAAGTAGGTAAAGAATCAAAAAAATAAGAAAGAAGATGAATGATATATTTCTTAAAAATAACACCAATTTATTTAAAAAAATATTATCAAATATTGTTTTACAACATTGTAATTTATTTATTGTCTTACAAAGATTCTTGTATTGACAAAATAATTATTTATTTGTTATTTATTCTTTTTAGAGAAATGTCAGTTCGTTAAATTCTTAAATGTTTTTTCTTTAGTTACAAAGCTTCAGATTACATCACAACATTAATATTTTTCTTTTAATTTCAACTTAATTATTAAACTTTACTAATTTAAAGGAGAATAAAATATATTAATAAATTCTATATAACAGCACTGGCATAAGAAAACAAAAAAATATTATTTTTAAAATCTAAATTAATTTATTCTTCTTCATTCTCTAAAATATTTATATATTTCTTTATATCTTCATTATTAATGAGATGCATTTGGAATGGCACTCCCCCAATATTGATATTCTTTTTTTTAGAAAATTTATTAAGAAATATTTCTTCAATTTTTACTGGTAGTATTTCTAGTGATTCCTTATAATCACTAAATAGCTCTAAAAATTCTTCTTTCTCTTCTTTTGAAGGATAGTAACATTTACTTATAAAAATATAATTTGTACTAGTAAATTTTAGTGTTTTATAAGCATTTACTATTTCTTTAATATTAAGATTACATAACTTATCAGCAAATACTAGTACTAAATTATTTATAGATACTTTATTATCTTTTAGAAATTTATTTATACGTTTCTTAACTTTTTTATCTATTAAAGAGCGCATCTTAGAATAATCTAGTAGAAGAATGTAGTACAAGACTACGTCATTAGATACAATGAATATTTTATCTATGAAAACTAGCTGGTCAGGGTCAGTAAAGAATTTATTGCGTGTAAGTAAAAAACAAAGATCTTCTATTAGAATATTATTTACATGAGATAATTCTATATTGTCTGATTCTTCAGAGCTGTAACTTTCTTCTGTAGACGAATAGGAAGATGAAGATGTTTTAGTAAACATTAAAGGGTTAAAGAATATTTAGAAGATGAAGAAGAAGACTTTTAAGTAGACATTAAAGGGTTAAAGAATATTTAAATTACAACATTAATAATATTATGTATTATTATTGTAACAAATTGTACATTTTTGTTGTAAAAAATTTAAAAGTTGTACATTTAATTGATTTATCATATTAAATTTAATATAAATTTATTAATACATTTAAAATTTTTAAAATAAATTATAGTACACATTTAACACCTTATTATATTCTATAATAAGCAGTGCCTAATCACTAGCTTGTTTTAAAAATATAAGATATTAACATTAATTTTATTTTTTAAATTATTTAAGAACAACTCTATTTTATCAAAAAAAATATATAAATAAAAATTTTTATAAATTTTATGCATTATTTATTACTAGTTTATAATTTGAGAGCGACAATGCTTGTTAAAAATGTAGATTTTGGTCTATTAAGATCATCTTGTAGTAAAATTATACCTCATTTATATTATTCTTCAATTTCAGGTGAACAGTTAGATATCCAATACAAAAAAAATGTAAATAATTACGATTTACTATCAGAATCTTCTCTTTTATTAAGAAAAAGTAACAAAGATTTATTTAATGATCAACTTTTTAATTTTTACACTGTAAAATCTATAACTCCTAAAGCTAATTATATTACCTTATCACCCTATTATAAGTTAATATTAATGTACAATAATATTTTTGAATTACAACCTGCTGGGAATCAATACTCTTTATTTTGTAAAAATGTACTACTTAAAAAAATACTAGAAGAAGATTATCAAAATGTATTTAAAAATATATTAGATGAACTAATACTACCAGAGACATTATTTAAAAGAGCATTAACTAGATTACAGGATAATCTAACGTTTTTTAGTAATGTATTTGAGGTTAATAGTTATATTGAAAATTTCATTAAAAGATCTAATTTTAACACTAAGAATAATTATTTAGAGAAACTATTACATGTTACCGATGAAGAAAGATTTGTAAAAGAAATGCCATTTTTAAATGATTTATATAACATAATAAATTTATATAAAGAAATAAGTACTAATAATATTACGAATGATAATAAATTTGTAATATTTAACGTGGATGAGTCATTAATAAATGATTTAAGAAATAATACAAAGTTAATAATTAATAAAAAGGAATATAATGTGACAGTAGAAGGGTTTTATGATAACAATAAGAATAGTAAAGATATATTATTTGATGTACGAGGTGATAATAATAAATATGCTTTTGTATTTGATCGCGATCAACTAAGACAAGGAGATATTAATAAGTTAAAAATAACAATAAGTAATGGAAAAGAAAGTGAAAGTGAGGTGGTAGATGTACCTGGCTGTTTGATAAATGAAGGGGTGTCTAATGCTATTACTTTTTTTTCTGAATAAAATGTTAATTTATTTATAAAAAATTATTAAACAAAAAAAAATAAATATCATTTTTTAATTATTTAGTAAAAGTTTAAAAAAGAAGGTAAATTTTTACCAATGACAGGTCCTGTCTAATTATAAGACTTAAATACAAACTGAATGGTATGAAACATGATCCTGTAAAATTTAATGTTTCAGAATGAAGAAAAAAGTATATAAATGAAATAAAATAATAAAAAATTATCTCTACCTTTATTCTCTAAAGTAGTGACATTAGTTATTAATTATAATAAATAGAACTTTTTTAAATCTGCCTCTTTTATAAATTTTTGATGAAACTATAAAGAAATATCTTTTGTAAGTCCTTAATTAATTTAATAATTATTACACTTAAATACAAAGAGAAATGTATTAATTTATTTTCTAACAAATATTTAATACAATTTTAGTTTTACAAATAAGACACATTTTTAAAAATATTTAATTAATTTTTTTGATTTTTCGAATTTTAATTAAATTAATTTATTTAAATTTCTTAGAATTTTACCCTTAATTATGAGTATCTTATTCAGAGCAGTACCTATTTATTGCAGTATGTTTATACCAGGAAATTTGCGGCTTACTGCATCTAAATTATTAGGCAGAAATAATGTATTATTCTTATATTACTCTACATCTGTTAAGAAAAGGATAAATGATTCTCTAAGCGTTAGCTTTGAAAAGAATTTTCGCCAAAAATTTGACGGTTTCGCTATGATTTTATTAAAGAGAGGTACAATTGATAATCTGGATCCTAATTTGTTCCGTGGCGAAATATTTAATTTTTATAAGAAAACAAAGCAGACACCTGAAGCTGATTATGTATCTGTGTCTCCTTATTACAGTCTTGTAATGTCTAATGATAATAGGTTTTATGAATTAAAACCGTTAGAAAATCAGTATGCCATGTTTTGTCATAATATTCTTTTAAAAGGATTTTTAGGTGAAGGATATTTTAATCGAATACATACAATCTTTTTATTAAAAGGTATTTTGAATGAATTAGATAATAAAGACTCTAAATTTGTAGAAGTATTAAATCAATATAAAGGTTATTTTCAATGTATTAAAGATATAAAGGAAATGAAAGCTTATATTGAACAGTACCTGTGTAGAAAGAATAGTTTACCTCTTTTGCAATGTACAGAAAATACTAATAATGATCAAGTTTATAAACAGTGTATGTTTTTATTAAATGATGTTTACAATTTTGTAAATTTGTATAGAAAAATGTTAATTGAAAAGAGTACTGAAGGTTATAAGTTCATTATTTTTACTATTGAAAATTCGCTATTTGAAAAGAGTACAGAGAATATCAAGTATCTTATAAATAATATTGACTATAATATTACAGTAGAAGGTATGGGAGAACATTACAAAAAAGGTAAAGAAATAAAATTTGATATTAAAGGTAGTGATGAGCAGTGTTCTATTGCTTTCGATTTTAAGCAACTAAAGAGACGGCATGCTGAAAAACTTAGGCTAATTATTGAAAGTGAATTGGAGACTATTACCGAAATAATTGATGTGCCGCTTCATATTGAAATGGATGATGTTGATGAGCATTTATTAATTAGTCCTTATGATTAAAAATTATTTTTTGTGTTATTTAACTTTTTTATATCAAAACAAAAAAAAAATTTGTTATGTTGTAAACATGACTGATAATTGTTTTAGGATTTCTAAAACAAAATTGATGATCTTTAACAATATTTTGAAACTAAACAGTTTTTTAAAATAAATTATTTATTTGAAGGTTAGTATTTTCTTTTATATTTGACTTTTCGCTTCACTGACACCACTGAACAAATTTAATGATAGATTTAGCTTTCCTCCATTCTCTGGTGCATTTATGTCACCTATTCTTCAGTCCTCCAACAAGATACTCTCAAGAATCTTCTTAAGTGTCACCGATTGGATGTAAGCCTCGATTCAGTCTGTGACATATAGCCTTTTTCGGTACTCTGTATGATATAAACAGTTTTTTAAATATTACTATTTAAAATAATTTATTTTTGGAAAGGTGCACGAAATGAATAAGCAGAGTAATATAAAACAATCCGAGTTTGAATCATATTTTTAAATAAATAATTTTTTTAAAAACAATTATTAGCATGTCAGCTACCCTTCGGGCAAGAAAAAGGTATTAATTGTACTACAACATTTGTTTTTTTACAGTTTATTTTTTTTTCTGAAAATATTTAAAAATGTTTTAATTTAAATGTAATAAGTTATTAATTTTAATTAAAACAGTCTTTAATCTTTTAAAGTAACATTATTTTTAAAGGAAAATTACTACAAACATATATAAATAACTATAATTAAAAAATATAGGTTATATAATAAGTTTTGTGTTATGTAGTACAATATATATTTTAAAAAAGAAGATTTATAGCTCTTGTAGTGTAGTGGTTATCACGCATCCTTTACACGGATGAGGTCTCCGGTTCGAACCCGGACAAGAGCAATTTTTTATTTTCATTTGGTAGATATTTGTTTATATATGAAAAAATGTTAACATAACATTCCACCAATATAAAATACCCTTTTACACTTATAGCATCAAAAATTTCGATCACACATGTCATAAAATAATTAATTGGAAATCAATTTTTAAGGTGTCCATAAAATAAAATTTTGCGCTTACTTGATTAAAGATAATAAAACAAATAGCGGCTCTATTTACAAACATTAGAATGTATAAAATAATTAACAAATGATTAAAATTTAGATTATTTTTTAAAAATAAAATTTGATGAAGGACAAAATTAACTAAAAATCTTGAATTAAAAAAAGCAAACTGTAAAAATAACTGTCAGAATATTTAATCATTTAAATAAAACAAAAATAAGTGTGTCTATGAAACGCAAATTATATTGCTCTGCTATTTAATGATAATGAAAAAATGCATTCTACTTTATCGTCTATTAATCTATAAATAGACCCTTCTGATGTACAATAAATATTTCCATCGCTGTATTGATGTGAAATTTTGTGCAATCCTCCATTGCTTAATAAAAAAATATATTTTTTGTAAACTAAAACACTGAAGTGCTTAAAATCCATACTTTTTACTATTTCTTCTTCAAACAAAACATTAACATTTTTACTTAAAAAATTATTATAAGATTGTAAAAATTGTTTATAATCCACATTAAAATCATAACCTATAATAGTACCATCAATACAACATACACGCACTCTTTTATATTTATCTAATATCAAAATATTATCTTTAGTAATGTATACATCAATTACGGAACAAAGTGTACCACATAAAAATACAAGAGAATTATTTATCATCTTGTAAATATCACCATAAACATCAATGATATACAAAACATTACAATATTCTACAATTTTGAAAATACGTTTTTTTAATTGACAAATCTTAACAGGCTCGTCGTTATAAATTTTATAAAAATTTTTATTTTTATCTGTAAAATACATTTTATAAATAAAAACTACATCGTGTTGTATTCTATTAATTAATTTGTAATTACTATCAAAAATCAATAACTCATTATTTCTATAAAAAATAAATCTAGTGTGTAATGTCTCGTGATCAGTCTCTAAAGCTTTCATAAATGGGCTATTTTAAAGCAAAAATATTAATTTTTAAAAAATAATAAATTGAAAAAATAACACTAAACAGTAAACCAGATATCATAATAATAAAATCTTCTTGTTTACTATTTTCATTCACAAAAGGATTGATCACTAAAATATAAAAAATGTAAAGATAGCAGATTGTAGAAACATATAACACATGTTTTGAATCGATCATAAGGGTACAATGTGAAAAATTAGTAAAGAAACAGATAAATAAACCAGATTTTAAATTAATTTTTATATCCCATCTATGACATTAAACAAACATAACACAAAGTTTAAACAGATTTTCAGCAGTGCTCGTAACACATACAAACAAGATTTATCGGGAAAAGTTTTTAGATGTTTCAAAAATATTTATTATATGAAAAAAACAAATAATCTAATATTTGAAATGTTGTTGTTTTTATTACTCATCTTTTTACAAGTTGTACAGCTAACTTTCAACAATCAAGAGTATTATACAAACTTCGCTGTAAGTTCTGAACTGCCACAGGCTTCTGAAATTGGTCTAAAATTACTAAATCGGGGTGGGAATGCAATTGATGCAGCTATAGCCACTTGTATAGCAGTAGGAATCGTAAATGCTTTCTCATCAGGATTGGGTGGAGGCGGTTTTGTGCTAATCAAGAAAAAAGGACTAGACGAAGAACCTTTTATGTTAGACTTTAGAGAAAGAGCGGGAGAAAACTTTAAATTAAACGAATATATTAACAATAAAACAGCAAGTTCTTTGGGTGGTACAGCGGTTGGTGTACCAGCCGAAATTAAAGGGCTATTTCATATTCATAAGAAATTCGGTCGCTTACCATGGAAAGATCTTTTTAAAGAATGTATAGAACTTTGTAAGGGGTTTTCTGTTACAAAAGAGTTGGAGAAGCGGCTCATTCGGCATAATTTTGAAATTTTAAAGGATCCTGGTTTACGTGAAATTTATAGTAAAAATGGTCAGGTCTTAAAAGAAGGTGATATAGTTGTAAGAGAAAATTATATGAGAACGTTAAAAATTTTAGCAAATAATCCGAATGATTTTTATCAAGGCGAGATTGCAGAAGCATTACTCGAGTCAATAAACAAAAATGGTGGTAATATAACAAAAAAGGATTTTTTGAATGTTAAGCCTATACAAAGAACGGTTATAGTCGATAAATTTAAAGATTACAAAGTTTACGCTACCTCTTTACCATCATCCGGTGTTTTGGTTGTTGAAGCTTTAAAATTACTAGAATTTTTTGATATTAAAAAAATTTTTGAAGATTCAAAAAAAAATAATAGTTATCAGCACATCCATATTTTAGTCGAAATTTTAAAGTTTGTAATGGCAAGGAGAGGAGAACTTGGTGACCCTGATTTTTTACCTAATCATGAGGAAGTGGTTAAACACTTATTGAGTAAAGAAAACTTGACTAATATTTATAAAAAAATAGATGTAAATAGCACGTTAGGATTTAATCAATATAATGTGGACAAAACCAATGTTGTAGATGGTGGTACAACCCATATTAATGTTGTTGATACTGATGGTATGATTGTAAGTTTGACTAGTACAATTAATTTAGAATGGGGTGCAAAGTTCATGGATCCTGTTACCGGTATTATCTTAAATAATCAGATAGATGATTTTTATTTTCCAAAAGATCCTAATGCAGACTTATCCTCACCTAATATTGGAAAACCTGAGAAGATACCTTTGAGTTCTGCGTCTCCCTTAATTTTAGAAAAAGATAACGAGCTAATTGTTTTAGGAGCGGCTGGTGGAATAAGAATCCCTACATCAATAATTGAAGTCGTTTTTTGGATATCTTTAGGATTTTCGCTTCGAGAAGCCATTGAAAAACCAAGGTTGCATCATCAACTTGATCCGCATGTATTATTTGTAGAGTATTCTGAAAGTCCTGATGTTATTAAATATTTAGAAAAGCTTAAACATACGGTTAAAATTTCAGAGACTAATTCAATTTTTACGTCCGTACAAGGCATACAGATTAATTATCGTCTATCATCTAAGAATATTTATGCAATATCTGATCATCGAAAAGGTGGACGTGCAGCGGGATTATAAAATAAAAAAATATTAGACTTATATTATCAATATTTTACAAAAAAATACATTCTAAAAGAAGTTATTTTGATAATTTTTAACAATTTGTTATCTAATCGTGAATTAAAATAAATATTTGAAAAGTATATAACAAAATGCACAATATTTTATAAATTACATTTTTGTATTCATCAGGTTTTACTTACATTTTGATTATTTAACTTTAAATAATATTAATTCTTATAAAATTTAATTGGAAAAAAAGAAAAATTTTACTTTTTTAAATTGATTAGCATTTTTATTATATTTACAAACACATTAATATCAAAAAAGTTAAAAAAATTACTGTTTAAATCGTAAATATATGCATTTGAGATAATTTTTCCTAATGTCTAATGTGCAAATTTAAACTACTCATAAAATAAGTTACTGATAGCATATTGGATTTTTTCTTACATTTAACTAAATCTTATAATAATTGTATTAACAAATTAAATGTTTTTAATCTAGTCAATAAAGATTTTTAAAAAATATTAAATTATTTAAAATCAAAAAATATAAATTAAACTTATATTCATTTTTATTTGTTGTCTTTTAGATTATTTTAAAAAAATACATTAGTTAAACAGTAATAAATGCCAAACAAAACTTGTCAATAAAAAAAAGTACAAAAAAATAAGTGTTAATCTTATTTAATGATAATATATATTTTCTAATTATTTTTTAAGTTTCAAAGAACACTGAATGACTACAATCTTAATAATAAATATTTTAAATTGGTCAGTCAGCATCCCGCGGCCGTTATAATTAATAAGAATTTTTAGTTTTATGATCTTTTTCTAGCTTTTTCTGTCTATAAAATACTTTTTCTATTTTTAAAGCTAGAAGATCACATTGAACTTTTTTTAAATTTTTTTTAATATTTTTATCCCCTAGAAATGTCCTTAACAAATGCTCAAAAAGTAAAGGTTATGCAACATTTTAAAAGTAAAGGATCTCTTTTAATTTATGACAGAAAATTAGAAAAAAACACCATTTTAGATATAAATAATAAAAAACTAAGAAGCTATATTCAATCCCTTAAGGATAAAGGTTATATCGAAGAGCATTATGTATGGCAACAATTATATTGTTTTGCTACTGAAAGTGGTATGAAATATTTTAACGACGAACTAGAAATTCCTGATGTGCATGATGATGGAATCAGAATTGAAGCAATTCAAGTAAAAGAGGAATAAATTTTATTTATTATTATTTTTTTTATTCAAAAATACATTAAAAGAATAATTTATTCGGGAATAGCTTCAACTAACCGTGCTTCGGCATTTGTAACATGTATTCCTAACTCTTTAGCACGATTAACAATAGCAATTCTTTTCTTAGCACCAACAGAATGAGCAATTTCTGCGCAATAAGATCTATTTAAACAAATCAGTGGCTCAAGATCATCAGTATTGTAAATTCTAAACTTCCTCAATCCATTTGGTAAAAGATATCTAACTACATCAGGTTTCTTATATCCAATCTTTGGCATTTTCCTTTGTCCATTAAGACCTTTTCTTACATTAGAATCAATACCTCTTGGTTTTCTCCAAGATGGCTTTACTCTCTTGTATCTATCAGAGTGATGTCTAACAAATTTTATTTTTTTCCTAAATTCTTCTTTAATGCAAATTAATGGGTTTGGTGCCGTAAATTGTTCTTCCATTTTAGGGGAGAAAAATTAAAATTTTTTTATAAAGAAATAAGATGTTTAAAAATTGATAAAACTTATTTTATATCAATTAAGCAACAAAAAGATTAAAAAAACGTTCTATACAATTATGCAAAAAAGTATTTAAGAAAAAAAAATTGGCATAATTATGATTTTATGTTTACCTTTGATGATTATAGACATATATGCAAGACGAAGGCGTAGAAGAAGTGAAGGATTTGAAATAGTTCCTCGTGTACCAAAATGTGTACCACTCAGAGATAGCAATAATAGATCAAGTTCAGATTCATCATCTTCAAGTAGTACACATCGACGAGATAGAAGAAGAAGGAACATACGTCCGTATGTTGAAGAAAATCTTCAGCTTATTCAAGGACTTTTATTACAAGTAAATTTGAATATTGATAAATTTGCAAGATGGTTTACAGAAGAATTAAAGCATAAAATTATTGCAGGTATAGGAGCTATAAACAAAACTATCTCCGAGCGTCTTAGAAATGATATAAATGAACTTGAAAAAAGAATAATAAAAATCCTATGCAATTATAGTAATGAAATAGGAAGAGAGTTGGTAGAGCTTATTAGTAATACAAATGCAGATTTTCAAGATGCTGTTTTACAGCTTTATAAAAAATCTAATGCCTCAATTGCTAAAGCCATTACAGATATTGCAGAAAAAAAAATGTTATCTAAGACTCTTGTGGTTGATACCTCAGCTGCTATAGATCTGATAAATAGTGGATTGCGCGATTTAATTGGCGAAATAGAGCGCTTGTTTAGACGATTAACAGCTGCAGAAAAAGGGATAGCCAATAAAATCATTGAGGATAAACTTCATAACCAGCTAAAGGAAATTGAAAAGTTGCTTAATGAATTTGAAAAAAGACTGGAATCTTCTTTTAAAGAAATTGGTTTGGAAACAGCTGCTATTGTATCTCTTAACATAAATAACTCGACTAGAAGATTCATCGGCTACATTGACGAGCTCTTTAAAAAATTGGGACAGAGCATTATTTGTGTTTTACAAGGTAATAGTCAGGAATTAAGACCACCAGTTATAGTTAATCCGTCATTTCATCATAATGAATTATTTACAAAAGATTAAATAAACAAATTAATTACATATTTAATTACAAAAGTTGTATTATTTAATTCCTAAAATATTATTTACAATCGTTAAAATGCTTTGAACTGTAATATTATCATCAGTTAAGATCTTCAAAATTAACTCAGACTCCTTAAAATTTTCCCTTCGAATATAATTTGGTATTTTTTTTGTTTTGTTAATAATTCTAAGCGTTCCAATCATCTCTGCATGCGTTTTAAATGGATAAATGAGATCTATTAATATAGGAATTAGTGACCTACAGTCAAATAGCTTGCTTGAATTTGAATGATTACATTGAATGTTCGTTATGTTACAATTGTAATAAGATGAAGTGGCTTCGAAAAAATTGTTATCTAAATCATGCATTTCGCACATGGATTTAGATCCAAAATCCCCAATTTTAGGTACATACGAATCAGACCCATCTAAAAATATATTACTTGATTTTAAATCATTATGCGATATTCCTCTTGAATGCAAGAATATAAGACCTAATAAAATGTATTTAAATATTCTCAAAGAAAATTCTTTACAAACATTTCCACCACCCGTAACACTTTTACGGTATAACTCGAATGGAATTTTCACGTTTGTATTTAAAATTCCTTTATAAAAAATATTCGAATAATTTTCTTTACTTTTATCGAATAATCTTTCATTTCTCGCATCTATGAAATCTCTTAAACTAAATGAGCATAGTTTAGTTTTTAAATATAAAAAATAACTTTCTGTATTGCAATTATTTCTTTTAATTTTTTTATTTACATAAGGAGAATTAGATACGCCCCAGTTTTTACATCTTTTCGATTCTGTAAGTTTTTGTAAAATCTTTGGTCTAACATTTTTCCTTGTTATTTTATTCATAAAAGTATTAGAAATATCCTTCTTTAAATTTAATTGACTATCAACAATAGCTTTTGGGTAAAATTGATTAGTTTCATTACTTAAAACTTTTGTATTGAAAATATCTGATGAACTAAATTCTTCATATTTTTTAGCTGTATAATTGTCAATATTTTTTATATCTTCTGCGTTTTGAGTCACGTTACTGTAATCATTTTCCAGATTATCCGCGTTAAGTTCTTCATAAAAATTAATATTATGTGCAGATTTAGATCTACTCTTTACGATATTTGTGTTTTCCTTTAATTCACTAAGTTTAAGGGGTCTCTTAGAAATCATTAATGGTGAATAATACAAAATATTCCTGTGAGAGATACCAGGCGGCAATAATTCATTCATAAAAGTTTCAACCTTTCCAAATTTTATATGAATTTCCTTTAAAGCAAACTGCTCATTTGTCGTCTTGTCTTGTACATTATAAACAGTCCCAAAGGATCCTTGTCCTAAAATAGAAATAACATCAAATTTTTTAAAATACTTTTCAAGTTCATTCTTCAGCACTAGCATAAGGATAAAAAAAATTAACTTTTATATAAAAACTTGAAACTTATCAGTTTATTAAAAATAAAGTTAAACAAAAACATCCAACTTTATTTAGAATAAATAAAATAATAATTTTATGATGTTTTTTAATTATTCGGTTTAACCTTAAATGCAAAAAAATAAATTTATTAAACATTTAATAAAAAAGATTAACGCTTATTACAGAAAATTAATTACTTTAGAATTAATTTATTTGTCAAAAATCATATTTTTACAAAAAATAAGAAATTTTTAATAAATATTATTTGATTAATAATTTAAAATGTTAAACACACATCAAGAATTCGTATCAGATGTCAAAATAAATATCAAATTTTAATCAATCAAATTAAATTTCTTTTTATACTCATCACTATAATTATAATTAAAAAACAGCTCTTCTCCTAACTTTATATTACGGGCTGCATAAAAACAAATGCGCAGTGCACGCTTCATCCATAATTTTTTGATGTATAAATTTTGGTTAGTAGAGTGGTTTATAAACCTAGAATTATTTCCAACTAAAAATGCATCTAAACAGTGCTTATCAGTATATTCAAATATATATGACAGACCATTTGCGTCATAAAAATTTGCCCTTCTGTTCCCTTCATCATTGGAAATAATTTCGCCAACATATTCAATTACAAACTCGTCTTTCTTAATATTTTCACCAGCAAAGCATCCTAGTCCTTTCTTAGCACTTTTGTAAATATATGTAGACTTGTAAATTAAAGGTATGTACCATTCACAACTAGACATATTTTTACTGTCGCAATGACATTCACAATGTTCGTCGCATGTTTTATTAATTTTACTACAACTGCATCTTTTCGTACAACTATTTTTACACTTACAACCGTAAAACATATAATTACAAAAAGTACACAAACATTTTGAATCACATCCTGTTCCATTTGTAAAACAAATACATCGCGCATTTTGGTAACACTTTCCAGTGTGATCACATACTTCAGGAAGTTTGTTACTATTAGTTATAGAATACATGCTTCTTAATATTTTTTTATAAAGCGGCATTTTTTTACCCAAGTCTCTACATGATATTGTTATATTATATTTTAAAAATAAATTAAAAGACGTTAAACACTTATCATTGTTAAACATTTTCAAATTTTCTTTAATCTTATCTTTTTCAATTATGATTAAATTAGAATTTAAAGTAGTTTGCGCAGGATTATTAATATCTTTGCAGTAACATTTAACTTCGCTTTCGTAATCAAAACAGGTCTTTGTACGAATTGTGTGGATTTTACAGCCAAAAATTAAACATCTCGCACAGAAATATTTACGCATTTCATTAAAAAGCGAATCATAAGAACATTCATACATATTCATTTTAGCACACTGTTTGGTAAAATATTCAGGTTCAATGTTCAGTAACTCTGCTACTTCTACCGTGCTACTATTTTCTAGTAACCTACTTAATATTTCATTGTTTTGATTGTACGATAAATCGTATATCGTAGTATCATTAAAATGTTGAACATCTAAATGGGTGGTATTTTCTAAATACGGTATAAATCGCAGGGTCAGTTCATCTTCTGTATGTACATTAATCAAAGATTCGTTATAAAACCTTGAAGGTAGTAATGTCGATATATGGGGAATTATACCGATTTTATTTGGGATCAAAACGTTTTTTACTATACTTGGAGGCAATACATGCTTTTTGTTTTCATTAATTATCAATTTACATTCTAGAATGTAATTATTAAATGCCCATTCTAGTTCTTTATACATAAAAGGGCATTGATTAAAAATAAGCTAAATGTAGTTAAATAATTACAAAGATTTTATAACATAAATTACTTTTTGTTATTGTTGAATATAGATCTATTATTAATCATTTAGAATGTTACTTAACTTGAACAAAAGAAGAATTTAAAAAACTAAGATATTTGCAATAAATGATTTTATAAAAAGGTATCTTATCTACAATTACACAATTAATTAACTTTAAAATGTTATAATTCACATCTATTTTAATTTGGTTCCGTACAGAAATATATTTGATTTAACATAATTGTTTTTAAAAAAAATTTTATTGATTTTTTCAAGATCTGTGTTTTTTATACAAAAACATTTTTAGTTTTTGCACATTTAAACATTCCTAACGTTAATAAATAACAAATAGCTTTGAGCTAAATAAAAAAATATTATTTTAGAAATCAAAAGGTGGTTTTATGGCAGTTTTACAAATCTAGTGTAAAAATAGTATTTTTTATATGTAAGACACAAAATTTAAAATGAACAACGTATACAAAATAAATTCTTTCTGTTATATTTAAAATAAGTATATGTATGAATATAATTAATTTTATAAAAAGTAAAACGTTTTCTTTTATTTAATGTATTTATTGCAAGTTTTTGGTCAAAACATATTTATAAAAGATGTCGTTAAACATCGTCTTGATCTTTTCAATAAAAATATTGTTATTATTAATAGATTTTATAAGTTACACAAAATTGTAAAATCTTCCGCTTTTTTGTTTCAGAACTTCAATGGAATATTGTCCTATATTTTTTTATTACTTAAAACTCTTTATACATGATAAAAATGTTTTAGTACTAACAAGGCAAGAAAATATTTTTATTAAAAAATTTCAAAAAGTTTTGCTAATTTAAATTATTTTGAACTGAAGATCAAGCTCTAGAAATTTATAAAAATGGTAAAATGTTTTAAAATATATACATTTTAAATATTAAAGCCATTTATTTTTTTCAGTCATACATAAGTTACCTATTTAACCCCGTCATGATTTCATCTGTTACCATTCAAAATTCTAATTTACGATTTATTCGATCTCACAAATCTAAGAATCTAATTGCAGCAGTTGGCCAAAAAACTGTTGTAATCTTACAACTTGAGAACAGTATTTTAATTTGTAAACAGAGATATGTTTCAGAAAATGTTTATGAATATTATACCTGTTGCGATTTTTTAGATTATCGCGATCATATTTTTATTGTGGTAGGAGGGAAGCCTGGCACAATTACAGTAATTAATTTAACACTGGGTGTATTTTATAGTTATATTGATACAAAAACAGAAATTACATGTATTAAAGTTTATAATAACTTAATTGTATCGGGTGGTAAAGATTGCACAATACAAGTATGGGATTTTATCTTCAGTAAAAAAATTAAACAGTTTACTGGACATAAAGATATAGTTTTATCTTTAGATGTCAAAGAAAATACTATTCTTAGTGCCGGTTTAGATCAATCGTGCATGATTTGGGATATCTGCCAGGAAGAATCCTATAAGCCACAGTGTACAATTATTAATTTACATCGTGATATAATCATAAAAACATTATTTTATGGCGAGTTGGTCCTAACACTTTCTCAAGATGGAAAGATTACGATTTGTAAACCTAAATATATTAATAATTATAAGTGCTATTATAGTGATGATAAAACGACAACAAATAACAGTGATACTGTTTATAATGTGAATGTAAATGCTCATAAAACAGAATATAAATTTAAAGAAAAAAGAAAACTTAAACATAATTTTATTTTTATCAAAGAGCTGTGTCTTGAAGACACAGTTGATGTAAATGTCATAGAACATTCTTTAATATGCCTAAACAAATACAATGGTATTTTTACATTAGATTTATTAAAAATTACAGATAAAAATTTAGAGGTTAGTAAAATAGATACTTCCAAACAGGAAGGAATATCATTTACAACAAACGGATTAAAAATATTTGTTTTGTACGAGGGAAGTCAAATAAAAGCGTACAATATTAATAATAAGGATATAGATGTATTAGATCTCATTTAATTTATTATTTGTTTATTAATAAAAGAATTTTTGTTAAACTTATAAATTAATTTTTGCTAAAAAATATTTATTTATTTATTTGTAAAAGGATTAAAATTTTTACACATGTCTTTAGTTTCATAAATAAAATTAATACCTTCACTGTTTAAAGTTTTAAAATATTTGTATATTGAAGAATCATAGTATGGTAGACGTGTATAAGGACAGATAAACATAGAAGGAAGACCTGTTATTACACAAAGTTTTTTCTTAGGTCTTAGCGAATATTTACTTGAAATCTCAGTATACTTTAAATTAAAGAGGTCTAATTTCTTTGCAAAAGATTTCATATTTTTGTTTTTAAAATTTCCTTGTTTGTATGTGGCGTACTTTTTTACATTAATTGTATTATAATGCCTTATATTGTCAAATGGTTCTCTCTGTACAATAATATCTTTTGTAGATGAAGAACTTGACTCTTCTAGCATCTTATTTCTTCTTCTCTGTGATAATTTTGTTTTTTTAATAGACTTTTCAGTCATCAGGGTTAAAAAAAAGTAAAAACGTTTTTGTAAAATGTTTATTCAACTGTATACGAATTCATATCGTATAACAAATCGAAAATAGTTGTTCCAACATTAATAGGAGCACCAACAGTTAGCGAAGCAGAGGGATTCTCTAAAAAATCTGTCATATGAAATTCTGATGCTTTTTTAATGTTTGCATAACACGACTCAAAACTCATTTTTTGCAATGGACTGTCGCAAGAACCAAGTCCAATTCTATTAAATGCAACATATTCACCTGTCCTTGTCATATAATCAGCAATTAGCATTAAATGACGAATATCTATTTCAATTCCATAAACATCAAATACTGCTATTATTTGATCTATAATAGCCTCTCTGGCCGCTTCTATTCCAAACGTCATACAAATAGAATAAATATCATTAGAAGAGGATTTGTAAATATCAAAATATTCAAGAGGGTCAAAAAATCCATCTTCTGTCTCAATTAAAGTGGTTAAACTTGTAAAGTTAGATCCTTCAATTATAACATTTTTATCAGACAATGAAATTTTTGATATACCCTTATGTTCCTTAACAACTATTTTAGGCAATATCGATTCAATAATCGGTAAAAGAAGCAAACTGAAATCTGCAGGATAAAAAGAAGTGAATTGATATGTCATATGTGCCACTTTTTTAAAATTTAATGTTTTAAAAATTATTTCTTCATTTTCTGGTATCTCTTCTTCTCTTTGATCATTTTGGTCATCATTATCTTCAATTTCTTGATTATTTTCCATATCTTCTTCTGCTTTCAAGGTATCTATAATAACCTTCTCTGCTTCTTTATCATTGTCATTTTCAGAATCTTCATCCTGATCAGAATCATCATTTGTATTAATAAATGTCTCTTTAGTATTAATTTCCAATATATTGATGCCACCTGCCAGTTTACTTAATTTTTTTATTTTTTTTCCTAACTCCATTAAAAAGACAGAATCTAAAACAGGAACTGCATATTGTTCGTGTTTAAGAATATTAACAGTAACTTTTACTTCTTTGCAATACCTGCCTTGTTTAGATACCATTTTTTCGGAGATTAAAATTTCGCTTATACATTCATCAAGAGTTATTTTTTCAAAAATGTCTAATTTTTCAGTGGATACTTCTTTAATTAAAGGAACGTAAATAAGTGGTGTCTGAATTTTCTTGGCTGCCACCATTACTATTTCCCTTAACCTTGGAATACCCAATGTTACGTTTCGCGCACCTACACCAGCCAAATGAAATGTATTTAACGTCATTTGTGTAGAAGGCTCACCAACTGACTGTCCAGCAATAACACCAACAGCTTCTCCAGGATCAACAAGTGCATTAACATATTGTTTTAAACATAACTTCTTAATTTCATCACTTTCCTTACTAATAAGATCTTTCCACTCTCTATTTGTATATTTTAATTCTTGACAAAATTTAATAAAATTATCGGCGAAAAACATATTACTGTTATTTTTAAAAAATTCAATTTGCTTTAAGAAAGACGATTTCGTACAATCTAATCCATCCTCTCCATAAGTATATTGAATAATTTTAGTACCCATCCTGACCGATAAATCATATTCAACACGCAATCCTTCTAAATGCTTAACAAGACATCTTTGTAAATATCCCGATCTCGAGGTCTTAACTGCTGTATCAATAAGACCTTCTCTACCTGCCATACAATGAAAGAAATATTCTGACGGATTAACACCGGTTAAAAATCTCTGAAATACATATCCACCTGCGGATGGAGAAGTTTCAAACCTTTCAAAACAGGGCAATGTCTTACCACTTATCATGTAAGAAACTCTTTTCCCTTCAAGCTCTTGCTGCCCTAACGAACCAGAAATTTGACTTAAATTGACAATTGATCCTTTAGCACCAGTAATAATAACAAGACCCATATTATTGTTAGGAAACTTTTTTAATTGTCCCAAAGGAACACATGTATTTACAATCTGAGTAGTCACATTATTCATCTCTTCTCTAATTATAGAATCTAAATGTGCAGTTTTATTAGAATTAATATAATAATCAGGATTGTCTTTCATATAAATTTTCTGCTTAATCTTAGCGTTTTCATTACCCGCTTTTATAATATCATTTCTAGAAGAATCTGCAAAAGAATCTAAAAGTAAATCATCAATACGCACAGTGAATCCAAAATTAAATAAATAACGATTTACAACACGCCCAAAATAAGTCAATAAATCATTGGCAACAGAAAATCCATATAAATGACCACATGCATGTATAAGGGAATATTGTGTAGGGCCAATAACATTTTTATCTAATATTCCTGTAAGCATTTCTCCCTCCAAAAATATCGAGTTACCTTCTTCTTCATGTCCTAGCCACGTCTTTGCGCCAATTTTTCCCTTATTCGTAACAGAAATATAAAGATTTAAATTTTTTAAAATGCCAGAAGCAATTTGTTTACCGCTATACAGCGAAACGGGCTGAGAAATGCATGGATTGTCTAAAATTAATCTTCTATTAGATAAACCAGATTGTAATAGATCGATATATTGTTCTTTTGTGTAAAAAGAATCTTTAATAGTTAATCTTGAAGCACCAACGACATGATCTTGTGTCAATCCACGAATTGGTTCACCATTTGTAGGAACTAAATACATATGATCATTTAGAGTTAAAGACTCCGCTTCTGATTTTGCGACATAACTTTGTGGTAAATGTACATTCATTTCATCCCCATCAAAATCCGCATTATAAGGCTTACAATTAACGTAATGCATTCTTAACGTCTTCTCTCCTTCTAAAACTTTAACTTTATGACCCATTATACTCTGCTTATGAAGGGTAGGCTGTCTATTAACCAAAACTGTATCTCCTGTATTTAAATGTCTCCATACAGTTTTTGTACCTTTCAGCAATTGATTGGCCAAAGCAACACGTTTTTCATAGCTAATGTATTCAAGATTTTGAAGATTATTGCCCGTTTGTATAGCGTTAGCACCAGGAAATTCTCTACCATTAATAACTGCTTTTCTGAGCTTATCGTAATTATTTGCATTTACTCGTTCAGGAAAAGTAAGTTTTTCTGCAAAAATTTTAGGAATCCCCATTTCTCTCGTATGAAGATTGGGATCTGGAGATATAACAGATCTCGCAGCAAAATTAACTCTTTTACCCATAATATTTCTTCTAAACAATCCTTCTTTTTTTTCTAAAATTTGTTTATGACCAGCAGCTGCCCCATCCCCTTTACTGTATTGAGATTTAGAACTATCAAAATAAATTAATATTGCAGCCTGTAATTCTGGCCAAAAATCGGGATTGGTTTGTAATTCTATATTATTTTTTAAAATACGAGTATAATGAATATTTTGTGGATTTTCGTACATACGGCCGTTAAAAAAATTTACCGGTCGAAATTTAACTGGCGGGACAGAGATATTAATTAAAAAAAACATTTTATAATCAGCAGTAGAAAAAATGCTTTCCATCAATTTTTTCTCATTATTAAACACTTTTTTAAAAATGTCAATAATATCTTCAATCAAAAATATTTTTTGCGAGTTGTTCTCCAATACATAACTAATTTTAAGATTTTTGCTAGTAGTTAACTTTTGGCTCGATATTTTGCACTGAGCACATTTTGTACGAGCTGATGCAGTCTTAAATATCAAATTACAAAATTCTTGATGTAAGAAATTTGAAGATGCGCGAGATTTATCTGAATATTTAAGTAACAAATCAGCTATTTTTTTACATAAGTCATTTTCATTATTGCATGTAGATAAATAATCAAGATTGTCAATTGGATATCCACGCTTCAGTAAATTAAGTTTTAAAAAGTAAATTAATCTGTCGCGATTAGTTATCTTTAATAATCCACATTTATGACAAGCACTTTTCAATACAGAGTACATTGTAGAGAACAATAAAGGATTAAAAACGGGCTTAAACAGCTTTATATAACCAAAATGTCCTGGACATGTTAGATAGGATAAATTACAAGTCTTACATAGTGAATCGTTATTGAAAGGACCCATCCTTGCATCATATAATCCATCAGGAAATGGATGGCCAAAGGTGTCTAAACAAAGCGGTTGTGTAATTTCTAATACGCTCATTTTAATTATTTCTTCGTCTTTATAAAATGTAAAGGATATTTTGTCTGGTATATAACTTGTGAACATGGGGTGGGATTTTAAGAAAAATTTAAGTGGGTTTCTAAAAATAAAAGTTACTAAATTTTACAAAAAATAACAAAACACAATTTCTATGAATATTTTTTATATTTATTAATAGAGATATTTAAATGCTTTTTTTATGTCAAAACAGCTAATTTTAAATTATGCTTTTTATTAAAACGTCTAAAAAATATAAAGGCAGTTAACATTATTAAAATCTAGATCATTTTTGTAAAATTAGTTACATGTTAATAATTTAATAAGCTTATGTTGTTAACGTTTATAATTAATAAAAATATTAAGTTTTCCTAAAGATTTATCAAAAACTAATAAATATTTGTATAATAATACATATCAATATTCTTTATAAAGTTAAGTAATTTTGTATTATTTTACAAAAAGCTTTATAATAACAATCTCGGGTTAACATAAAAAAATAATATTAAATGTTTTAAATTGACAGCTTAAATCAAATTTTACATTTAGTGATAAATTAAAGGAATTGTATTTTTAAAATATGATTGACGTTGTAGTATTTATCTTTCAATTATAAGAGCACTATAATTTAAAAAATTATTATTGTGCCTTAGTATAGATTTAGTAATAACTTTGAACAATAAGCGCTTTATTTGTATTAAAGTTGGATAAATTTTGAAAAAAGTAAAGTTTTAAGTAAAAAAAATATCTGATATAAATTAATATCAGTAAGCTAATAATATGCAAAAATTTTATAAATTAGACGACCAAATACAAAGTATAGAAAAATTATGAAGCAAAGTCCCTGAAACAGTGATTAATTTCAAGACAATACTACTTATTTCAATTTTAATATTAAAGAGAATTACTAATGCAAAAGAATTAGCATACAAAATGATAATATAAATCTCTGTACATTAAATAAAAACAAGAAAATATTTAAATTTAGTATACGTAGTGTAAAATTAATGTAACTAAAGACAAAATTTAGAATGTGACAACTTTTGTAATTGCATTTGGCAAATTTTATTCCTGTGGAAAGTTCTAGTAATTTTAAAGTTTAACATTATTTGTTATTAGAATAATTATGCCAAACTAGTATTACTTATTGTGTTAAAAAAATAAATTAAAATAATTAATTTATTTACTAATTAAAAATGAAATCGTATAATAAATAAAAGAAAAACAGGTATAAAAATATAGCAATACATAAAAAGAAAGTCCACAAAAAAGCTCCATAATATGCCACG